AACAAATCCGTGTGTTAAGATACTTTGATTTCTGCATGTGTACATTTCGACAATTCTTTTGACTAAAATTTCAGCATGCATGATTATAAGATATGACAAAAATCAGTGCAGTTTTATTTGTTTCGCTTTGTTTTTATCAACAATAACAATCAGAATTTAAAGGAGCTTTAACAATATTTATGATTTTATCACATGAAAAACAAATGAACACTTATATTTTTACTAAATGCCTACTATAATCTAGTTGCAATCGATACAGTATATCTGTTGCCAGCTATTTTCTGTAATCACAATATTTCTTCAGATTTGATGTCGAAAAACTCACGAATACTCATAATACAGAAATAATTAAAACTGACTTAACGGGTCGTGTCAGTTTGTAGTATGGTTAAGCTTAATATCTATGTACACCATAAAGTCGCTCATTGTGTCGATTCTGGTTGATGAGAAGGGAATCGCACATATGTCGATAATTGTCCAGCTACAAGGTAGAAGACGAAAGTGCAGAAAATATCGCAGAATGTCGTAGCAGGCCAGGGCTTAATCAAAAGTAAGGCTGTGAACCAGGTTAATAAAATAGAAAACTAGTGCGCGTTCATTAATGGAGCGAGTTCGAAAAGTGGATAAACTAATATAGACCAGGTAGCGTTCAAACCGCAGTGGAAAATTCCTCAAAATATGTCAAGTTGACAGTTGTCGAAACAGCCATGCGAATACCAGCCGATGACACGAAACGAGTTTCCACCGTTGTCATTGCAACATTTCGTCGCACAAAGTTAGCAGAGGCCCTCGTAAATACTTGAGAAAGTGTTGCTTGCTTTTCGATCCCCCACATCAATCCAAACTGACATGAGTCCGTAGAGTTATCCGAATTGTTTGCGATAGTACCGACAATATATATAAATATTAACAGGGAGACTACTCTGTTTAATAACAAAATAACGAAGAGGTCAACACCAGTATCTATATAATCAAGCGTGCACGCATAACGCAAGTATACCATCGATCATCACATGTACACGGGCTATCAATATGTTATATTTAGAAGCATGAAGGGGAAACAGCGATGGGTGCTGTATGGAGCTGGACCTTTTAAACCGGGTGTGCCTATACCAGACAAACATCCGTATCTCCCCTCAGTAATCATTATAATACTTTAGGGTTCCTGTCCCACTGCACTCTGGTTCACAGTTATTGATGATTTTCTTAGATTATCCAGGAACATATGTGAATTATAAAAGCTAAAGTCATGCCGAAAAAGAGCGGTTTCCAATGTTCAGTTACAATTTTGGCAGTGGTACAAGGATCCTGAATATGTTAACCCGAAACGCTTTGAAAATAGAAGGATTATGATATATGTATATGTATCTTCATTGACCATATACGTGCTACGATATCATACCTCTGTTATCCTATTTATGCACAGGAAGTGCTTGACGCATGCGCCTTTAAGATATAAAACTAGCTTGCCGGAAGTGTCGTCCAAGCTCTACCATTACCCGAAAGCAACAGACAGATATAAGGTAAGTGTCAATGCTGCAATGATCTGAAACTGTCATTAAATGAACCGTGCCTGGGCTACATCTGGTGAACCACCCGACGGTGGAAATTAGGATTGATGAAGGTTATTGCTGTTATTCTGCTTATTGAGTAGATTCACTGCAGGAAAAACAAAACACAGAGGGAGTACGAAAATAAGGAAATATTTATCGAAAGCCCGGTAATTATACAAGTAAAGGCCGCAATGTACTTTGTTGAAAACATCTCAAAACGGAGGAGGTTAGGACATTGTAGGTTTGCCTGGTATTATGAGTACCAGCTATGTTCATGTCCTTTTTGTTAAAGGATGTTCTCTATCATTAAAGCACACCTACATGGACTACAAGTTGTATAATAATGCTGATCTAGTTCTGCGTTTCTGCTCTCGATATTTACCTGAATGAGGTGGGGACTTTACGTCTAGAAACAAGGTCAACACTATAAACCATAAGCTAACAGTTGTGTACGTGCCATGATCATATCATATGTCATGCTCTATATGTTTTTTACAAATGAAATATGAAGTACGGATTTTGAGGTGTTTAGTTTATTGAATATTTAAAACTAATAGATGACTTTTACTTTTTACTTTTTACTTAATAGACTGTTGAAAATGGACTCAAATAAATTGAACTGTTTTTATACAGCAAACGACACAAGGAGAAAGTATACCTGTCAGCCTCAAGGCTTGTATAATGCAACTAGAACCTCTTTGAAAATAGAAACTACATCTGTTTAAGATAAAACCTAAACCTACTTGCCTTTTATTTACCCACATACCTGCTATTTCTATAGCAAGTCAATCGACATGCAGAAGAAAACACCTTTTATACACTCAGGAAAATGAACACATATTACTTCTAAGTCGTTCCTTCTGTCTGTCCGCTTGTAATGTTTTCATTATTTCTTATAAACTGACCGAGTTTCCGACAATGATCAAAAGATCATGGTCAAGTGGAACTTTGTAACCTCTTTGAAACGAAATACACTGAAACATCTTTTGGTCAATGTGCCAGCCGCTGATCCCAAAGCTTGTGTGGTACGAATTCTTATCACTCGACTGATTCCCGGTATCGATTGTCATTCAGCCCTCCAAATTCAATAGTGTTCACAACCCAAACCAAAGTTACTATGAGTGCCTCTCATAGGGTTCCAGCGATAACCGGAAGAAGGTTATCCGATAAACCGCAAGTACCGTGTATGTTTTTGCAAGGTAATATGAGTATCAAATGTCGTAAATACAATGTAGTTATATTACAGATATATTGATTACCATAAATACCTGGTACTTTCTGAGAAGTGATGACAAGTCAACGCGATCATTTGGGATCAGTGTACAATGGGGAGGAGTGTTACTCGTCTGCGATGGAGAACAGTAGAAAAGTTCTGAGGACATTCACAGAGAACTTGCTTCAGTGTGTTGGTAGGAAACATTTTAATGCACACTACCCCAATACGGTGACTAATGCGATAGCAAAATGGTACTCATGTAATCTATGTGGAAAAAAGGAACATGCCTTCTTGAACATTGCATGTATATATATAAATATAATTTGTTATCAATGTTTACGTGTGGGCTTCTTATGCGTTAATTGTCTTATTAAGCAATGCATAACACATTCCTTAAACAAATACGTTCACCACGAAAGTGGCAATATAATCAAACTGACGACAAACGACACAAACCGAGAAAAGAAAAGGAGAACTATTTTAAAATACACATTTTTTTTTTTTAATTTTGAAGATAATCTGTTAAAACAAGAGGATAAGAATTCCAGGACGAGATGTATAGCTGAGTTTGGAGCTGCTGACGGAGGCGTGTCGTTAGAGCTCATGGACACGGTAATAGGTACGTGTAGCCGGTGTTGGTTAACACAGCGACAAGATCATTTTGTATTCAACATTACATCTGGTATATATTTTATTGTCATCAATATTCCTGTCGACAAATAAGACTTTATGTTATATTACAGAATGCGGCAACGTGTATAATTATTCTCAAACAATCATATATGTATTATGAAGACCATTTCATTTCGACATTACGAAATATGTGTAAGGTTTTAAAATACTCAAACATTTCCAGTAGATTTTAAAAGATATCAAACCAAATTCTACGATATACAATAGAAAAAATGAAATCATTTTCAAATTACACTATTAAGTTATATTAAGGGTTGTACAAAAACGTACAATATATGCAGGTCATCACCGCTAAGTGCCTCAGAGTAAATTCTTCATGATCAAGTACTGCGCTATATAAAAGATAATTCTGTCACACATGCCATCGTTGTGATTATGATATTAATTCTCCATGTAAACGACTTTTGAAAGACTACATAATGATTTGAAGAAGTTTTTTTTAAGTCTTTGCAGTTTCTTTTTACATCTTACATATGTTCATAAATAACGTGTTTATTGTCATCAATGCAATAGCCAATAAAGGTTCTACATCACTAGAAAGATTCCCGTAATAAAAGATGGTATACATCGGGGAAAATGGAAAGCCATGTGACTCTCATGACTAGGATAATGGAAACAGATGGTTAAGGAATTAAGTTGATGGGCCGCTATTCATCTCTTTTACTTAAAAATGTCTATTACGCGTAGAAATAACTGTTTTCATTTGTCTAAATAATTACACTGCCTTACTACATGATGTCACGAATTTGTACGAAGTCTTCTAATGCCGTTTTTCTTCAGATAATTTTGATATTTCAGCAAGAATACTGTAAATGGAATGATTTGAAAATAAAATCTCTTTTGAACAATGACAGGTTTAATACAGAACACATTTTACGCAAAGTGACCATATGTGTTGCATTAATTTAAACACATTTAAACCAAAATCATGTTTTCAATCTCTTTGTTGATGACCAATTTGTTTCGTGAAGTCATTTTTATAAAAACACAATACCTTCTGCTTATATATGTTTCTTGTATCGGCAGCCAAAGATTCGAACATATCTACTAAATTATCCACAAGAGATAAAGTGCACGTTCTGGCAAGTGCGACCACCATGTTCCGGAAATGCCTTCCAACAGGTTTTGTCGATCTGGCTTTCTCGTCAATGGCAAATCACTGGCTCAGTCAAAGGTTAGGGGTCTAAATGGTTAACAAATAACAAGAGAATTAATAATAAAAAATATATTGTATAACACGAAATTATTCCATAAAATGCACTCAAAGTACAGTGTGCAGTTCAGTAATAAAATAGATACATTTAATTACGATCAATGTATCTACCAGCAGTTGTCATACGAGAACGTTTACGTCTGATATGTAATAATAATAACTCGAGGTTCTTATACACCGCTTTATCACAACCTGGGTCGTAGGTCGTCTCAAAGCGATTCACACTTTACTATCCGTAGTTATTGGGTTGTTGCTTCGTTATAAATGATATCTGATTTATAGACCCTGCCCTATCCGGGGCGGATAATTCCAGAGTGACTGTGACATGGAGGAACTTGAAGCATTTCGACACCAGTGGCAGACTGATTGGATACAGTTCCTATCTTGTCGGTCTCAGGAACTCCGACCGGGTAAAACTATTATTCATTTGCTACAGTATGGTCAATATAGGCGATTGTCTATAACTTTGACTTTAATCAGTCAATAAAAACCGTTACAGACCGGGAAAAAATCATTTTATTGTCCCTACCAGACAGGTAGTCTTCGACCTCCTTTCAGTGATATTTAATAACTGTTCGCCTTCTGCACATTCTGTAATTGTTTATTATTATCCAATAATTCACTAAAGTCATTTGCTATGAAACTCTCTGTATAATCAAATTTCAAAACAACGGAATTGGTGCACAAGTGAATTTGAACATCGAACACCTTTGTTACTCGTATACTTAAAAGACAATCAAATGGAAGTTTTGTAAATAATTTTAGGTAAACAGTTATCAACTTGCTTTTCTTTATTCTTTGTTTTGTTTGGGATTCTGTTCCAGTAAAAGAAATACCATCGGCGTGTTTGGTTTACCCGCTGAACATTTCCCTTCGGACATGGCAAATAGTTTATCGGTTGATCCTAAAATGCTTTTCAGGAAAACGCAAGTGCGTCGAAATTGCTGAACTATCCTCTTCCGTGGTATTTAATTCAGTTTATTTCAATATTCGTATCATATCGTTATTATTCCATTTGCAGGAGGGTACATGATGGTGATTTCTTTCGTAATTAATGACAATGGGCAGGAAAAGGCCGTTGAGGAGGACTTGCATGATGTCTACACTAAAACCTGGAAAGAGTTTTGGCAAAATGGAAAAATCACTGAGGTAATTATGTAAAAATATTAAAATAATATCCATGCAATAATAGAAAAACACCCACCGTCACCGTAGTGACGTTGGGTGATATGCAGGTCACGACCTGCAAATTTTAGTCACGTGAAACAATGGTCCCTTAATGTATTATGATTGTTAATTGTGAGTATCTCTTGTAGGTTCATCTCTTGATTGTAAACATTCAAATTTAAAAAACAACTAACACTAACGTGATAGCAAACCACGAATCATTGTAGAACTTTAAATGTCTATATAGTCCCAGTATAGTAACTTAACTGCTGAGTTGTAATGCAAATCTTTATCTTTTCGTCGGACGGTTGACGGATTTTTCCACTTTTGAAAACTTGTTTAAAAAAATCAATTTACAAATAATAGTGCAACCATTGCGGTATTTATTTAGACAATTATCTAGGACAATCACGAATGTATAACAAAACTACAATTAGGTTGTTCCCCTCTTCACACAAGAAATTATAAAAAAATGTAAAAAATAAATACTGTTTATCTAAACCTATCATATGAGAGGCAGAGTGTTTTATCATCATTGAAGGTTTTGTGAAACACTGAAAACAGTTCTAAGTAGCTTATTTTATACCATTGTCACCAGGAAGAGTTTGTGAGCAGCTCGAGTTTTACCTACAAACCAACCATGGCCGAGCTCTTGCAACCATTCAACACTGACATGAAAGGTTCTCTGTCTTTAGTTGAATTTACCGAGAAAGATGTGGAAGTAATACCAGGAGTAGAAAGAGGCACAGGTACTATCACTTAATTTTCACACAGTCGCGGTAAATTCACCTTTAGGTTACAAAGAGGTTATTAAGGTTACTGAGTACTAAAACAGCAAAGTGAGATCAGCCTTAAACTTCCACGACAAGCTCTTTTACAGCGGAATAAAATGGTCTCACGTAGTATTTTATTTTGAGCTCCACAGAGGTTTAACTAAACCCTTAAATCTTTAAATATGTATTCTTTTTCAAAACCTGAAATATACATATACTGAGTGAATTTTTCTTGCAAAATATCTGGCGGTTATCAACTGAAAATTGAAAGATAAATGCGTAACAATTTTTTAACGTCTATATTGTTTTGAATCCACATATTTACAGTGGAACTATATAAATCGGTTTGTCATAAAATCGTTAAACATTTTCCATCCAAATGATTCATTTTATGATTATAAAATCCTGCCACTTCTAGTTAATTGACCTGTCTACGAAGTGTTCTGATCATGTTCTGATTGACCACACAGGGGCCGACGACCTAGACGTATTTGTGGAAAAAAACCTGAGGTATACGAAGCCTTGGCTATATAATATCCTCAAGGCAGGACTGTCCCCAGGGCGAAAGGAGGCTGAAAAATGCAGAATTCTTGATGACTATTTCCAGACACTTCGCGGTATCCTCCTACAGAAGACCACATTTTGTCCCTTAGTTTACAAAATAGCTTGCGTGATAGCCAAACGTACCAGTTTGTAAGAAGTCGCATAGCTGATCATGTAGTGATCAATATAAAACCATTATGGTTTACTTCAACACTAAACAAAATCATCGAATCATTGCTTAATAAGATCAATATCAAGACGATAACCTGTTTAGTCAGACAGGAGCCTCTACCATCATGATTGTATTGGTTTAAAATGTTTAAATAATCATTTTTCTGTTTTAACCGGACAAGAGTTACATTTTCTTCCTTAACAATGACTTTGCGCTAGTTAAATGTTTTTCATACTATTTAAAAATTGAAATTAATATTACTCAGTGCTAACAAAATTGTAAATCTCAAAATATATAACATTATGACTAAATATGAACAAAGAATATTACCTATAAACTTTTGATAACGATACAAAAGTAATTAGACCAGGTACTCCGGAAGGTTAATCGTCTTCTGCTTCACCGACGACACCCGCCAAGTAAATCCAACTTTGATAAAAATCGAATTAGAAATTACAGATTCACCCCCTATTAATAACAATTGTATGACGTCACGTCAACAGTCCATCAACGTCACGTCAACCCTGAATTTAGCCTGTAACGTTAACATAACAGTATGCATATGATACACAATGGGTGAACAAGGTAAGAAAAAACAGAATCAAAGATAGGGGAATATCAACCCTCGGGAAAGATTCTTTAATTGTTAAAAACTCGATACAGCACTGTACATTCATTTTTGAAAGAAGAAATGATTTTATGCCAGAAAAGAAATTATTTTACGCAATAAAAGGAAATATTTTAGAAAGCATTTATTTCCTGCATTCCATGGTAACATTTTCACACAATCATCAGAAATAACAAATAGAAATTACCGGTTCCAACAATGTCAAAAAGTGATCAAAGAAATTCAAATCTGTCGAAATTCAATTTTATAAAGCAAAGATATACTGAAAACAAAATGCCACACATTTACTTATTCAAGTGATTTTGATTAATTAGCATAAATGAAACACGAATTATATCCGTATTCATTTTACATATTTGCTGGTATAATATATACTGTATATCATGTGGCGGTGGTTGAAATTAATTAAAACATCAAGAAATTAAATAGTAGTGGTGTTATAAATGTACAATATGTGTCCACAACCATATAGCTACTTCTTAATTTAGACAGTCCACTTCTTTACCACGTTTAACTGTTGTTTACGTGGCATTGTACAGTGACTTTTTATCACGTTTTACCATTGTTTATGTGACATTATACAGTGACATTTTATCACGTTTTACCTTTGTTAACGTGACATTATACAGTGACATTTTATCACATTTTATATTTCTTAACGTGATATGATGCAGTGACATTTTAGGACGTTTACCATTGTTTACGTGACATTATACAGTGATATTTTCCCCCATTTTACCGTTGTTTACGTGACTTTATACAGGGATATAATATCACGTTTTACCGTTGTTTACGTTATATTATACAGTGACATTTTATCACATTTTACCATTATTTACGTGACATTATACAGTGACATTTTATCACGTTTTACCGTTGTTTACATTATATTATACAGTGACATTTTATCACATTTTACCATTATTTACGTGACATTATGCGATGACATTTTATCACGTTTTATAGTTGTTTACGTGATATCATACAGTGACATTTTATCACGTTTTACCGTTGTTTACGTGATATTATACGGTAACATTTGATAGCAATATACGGTGACATTTTATCACGTTTTACCGTTGCTTACGTGACTTTATACAGTGACATTTTAAAACATTTTACCGTTGTTTACGTGATATTATACAGTGACATTTTATCACGGTTTACCCTTGTTTGCGTGACTTTTTACAGTGACATTTTATCACGTTTTACCGTTGTTTATGTGACATGGTACAATGAGATTTTATCACGTTTTACCGTTGTTTACCTGATATTATACCGTGACATTTTATCACGTTTTACCGTTGTTTACGTGATATTCTACAGTGATATTTGATCACATTTTATTGTTGTTTACGTGTATTATACAGTGTAATTTGATCACGTTTTACCGTTGTTAACGTAAAATTATACAGTAACATTTGATAGCATTTCACCGTTGTTTAATTGGCATTATACAGTGACATTTTATCATGTTTTACCGTTGTTTACTTGACTTTATACAGTGACATTCTATCACGTTTTACCGTTGTTTACGTGACATTATACAGTGACATTTTATCACGTTTTACCGTTGTTTCATTACATTATACAGTGACATTTTATCACGTTTTACCGTTGTTTACGTGACATTATACAGTGACCTTTAACAGACCCTGGACCCAATCTGATTAAAATCATATGTTACATGGCTTCGTTAACGTCGTACTACGCCTGAACATCTGAGTGTGCCGCGGTCAGGGTCACGTTCAGGTGACCTTTATATTTAAAAATACTCATTAAATTTTGACCAATCAAAGACCCTCTTTCAAAAGGGCGCTCGGAGTTGTAACAAATATGGCGGACATTGATGAGAATGATGCAAAAGTTATTTGAGATTGAACAATCTGAAACCCGAACAGAAAAAGACATTCGAAGCTTTATTAAAGAAGAAAGACTGTATGGCGGTGTTGCCTACGCAATTATTACCCAATTGGTAGGTTTTCCTTGGCGTCGTAGAAACGTCAGTTCCCGCCGCCATATTTGTTTTGAAAAACTAATCTGTTCGATACCCCTCGCTATTTATCAATCAACCATGATATTCCGATTCGATGGCAAACTTTTGCCAGCGCGCCTCTGATTGGTTCATATAAAGGTCACTTAAACGTGACCCTGACCGCGACACATTCAGATGTTCAGGCGGAGCCATGTAACAGATGATTTTAATCAGATTGACCCTGGACCGTTTTTCTTGTTCGTTTAAACGCAAACGAAACGCAAACGGAACGGAAACGCAACGGAAACGAAACAAAACCCCAACGCAAACGCACACAAACCGTTTGGTTTTAGCACGCTCCTAAACCGCAGTTCATAGTAGACCAATAACGGACTTTAATTTATAACTAGATGTACACTGTACTTGCTCACGGAAGCGTGTCGGTCTCTGACCCTAACTCTGACCAGTATTTACCTGTAAAGTGCTCGCGTGCTATTTGCACAGCGGCAAATGCAGATGCACTCAATGGCAACATTTTCTCCGTTAGCACCAAAACAAAAAAAATGGAATATTGATTTTTTAAATATTGGTTTCAATAGCGTTAATCCAACGTAGTATCCAAATTTCATTTTGTCACTTGTTAATTCTTTGATACAAATAAAACGCAAAAGTACGACATTTCGCCATTCCCTGTTTATGAACATCTTTCGTAAGTAGACTAGCATGAAATCAGTAAAAAAGAATTTACGATAAAGCTTAGAACTGTAAAGTTTACGGACTGTCAAAACCATGCTATTCATAATAAAAAACAAACTGCATCAATGTTGATCAACAGTAATCTGTACTTACTGCGAGTCGGTTTAACGATTTGTACACCTAAAAAGACGACAGTGCAAACCGGAAAATTGGTCACAAAGCGTGGTCTTGCATAAAAGAGTTCCACAGTTAAAATCACAACCTAGGACAGGAGCCAGTATGGCTTTGAATGTCGATCGAGAGATTTAAGAACAAAACGATAATTGCTGTTGATTACATCGAGTTGAGGAGGTGTCAGGTGTCATATTTGGCTTAATGAATCAATGTGTCACATGTACGATATAATTTTTTTGTGTGCTTTCATTTACAGAAGCAACTATGCATACGTTCCATTACAGTGATTTGTTTTAGACTTGCGCACTTTCATTTCCGCATTGTAAACTACGAGATCAGAGACAGCGGGATAGTTCGGTTTGAAATGTAACACTTCAGAAGTAAAACTTGACGGACTTACAAATACAAATGCAGACCTGGAAAGATTTGCCAAGATCTGTACTAGCCAAAAACAACATTTAATAACGAATTCACAAAATGGTCCAACCGTTTTGATCGCGTTTAAAAACGAAAGTACGTTTTTCTGAAATAACTTACTCTATTTTTGTAAGCGTGTTTATTGTAAAATTACATAGCTGTATTTGTTATATTTATTACGTATATCATTTATCGATTGATTAAAAGCATTAACTATTAATAAAACCAACAACTGCTAGTGCTATGGCCCAACAGCAAATTTCATACCAAATCTATGAACCAGCATAACTCGAATACTCGGATAACTCTAAGT